CAGCAATCGGAATGCTTTGATCGTTTGCGACGGAAATCTTGAAGAGTGAGAAGACTAGAAAAACTGTTGCCTAAACTAAAACTATTAACTTTTCCAAAAACAGCAAGCAAAATCTTTAATTTCTTTTGAAGTCACAGTAAAACTTACTATAGACATCAAAAAATTACAGCTTAATGGAGTTTTTTTGTGACACCCAAGACAAACAGTTAAAAGGAATTTACCCCAGAAAATTCATATTCACAAGCCACAGATTAAAAGAGAAAAACCTGAATGATTCTCCGCATTTAGTGTTGACATACAATTAGAAACCAAACCAGTGATTTTGAAAGCGCTTGAAAATTCAATAAGTCATGAGACGCTACCTTGGCTTGCGCAACTGAGGCTAACGAGACAAAAATTACTTGAAAAAAAGGGTCTATACAAAGCACCTTACGCTCCCAGACAAGATAAATTAAGAGCTGAGCAAACGCCCGAAACTTACATGGCTTCAAATGGTGGAAGAACTCGACAAAGCGCTCACGTTTCTGTAAACCGCACGAGTGTTGTCTGTAAAAAGTCTCTTTTCAAAATTAAAATTGTTTTTTACTGCTTATCTTTTCTAAAAAAAATAAAAAAATCTGATCATGAGCGACTAAAACGAAATACTAAAACTTACAAAATATTCTTGTTCCTCGTTTACTCGGATTCTCTTTTCAGGTCTTACGGTAGCTGTCGTTTAAATATAACCTCTAGCAAAAACATAGAAAAGGTCGAACGACGTTTCCAAACATTTGAGGAAGAAGCGAGGCAACATAAAGCACTTTCGGAGAGCCTAGATGTAATAGAGGCGAGAAATGTTGTCAGTAGTAATCGAGAAATCGCACTCAAAGACCTTGCATTTGTGACAGCTGCAACTCAAGATCATCTGGAAGAAGCCTACAAGTGCGTTTTTTAAACAAACTGTGGTACTCCATAAAGCTCAAGAAAAAATAACTTTTTAGCTAACTCGACAAAGCATTAAAAATTTTCTGGAAAATAGAGATAAGGTTCAAGAATTCTCTGTATCATAATGCATTATACTTAATAACTCTTGTAAAAAAGCAAATTTACAAGAACACTGATCTCCCATTACAGCAAGACAACAAGAAGAAAACTGGAAAATGTTCAAATTCCGATTTACTACTTAACCTTTCTAAAAAAAATAAAAAAAAACCGACTATGACTAACGAAAACGAAATACAAAAACTCATCAAAATACTCTTCTTCCTCGTTTACCGGAATTTTTTTTCAGGTCTTATGGTGACTACCATTTAAACATAACGTCTAGCAAAAACATAGAAAAGGTCGAACAGCGTTTCCAAGCACTTGAGGAAGAAACGAGAAAACTTAAACCACTTTTGGAGAGCCTAGATGTGATAGAGCCAAAAAACGTTGTCAGTAGTGTTCGAGAAGTTGCACTCAAAGATCTTGCATTTGTGACAGCTGCAACTCGAGATCATCTGGGAGAAGCCTACAAGTGCGTTTCTTCAACAAACTGTGGTACTTCATAAGGCTCAAGAAAAAATAACTTTTTAGCTAACTCGACAAACCATTAAAAATTTTCTGGAAAATAGAGATAAGGTTCAGGAATCCTGTGTATCATAATGCATTGTACTTAATAATTCCTAGAAAAAAGCAAATTTACGAGAAAACTGATCCAGCTTCACAGCAAGATGAGAAGAATAAAACTGAAAAATTTTGAAATTCTGATTTTCCCGTAGATTTAAAAGAAAGCATACGCGTTTCTCTGCAGCATCCTCTGAATATTCAGAAATGTGATCAAGGTAAACACTACTTTCATTACCTTATGAATGAAGTCCCTATTGCACACAAAACTCTTGCCTGCATGAAAAACTAGGAGCGCACATCCTCTTTTGTATTCCAGTCCTCTACTCTTATATCTCACTGTTCTAGGTTTCAGGTGCTGTGTAGCTTTCTAAGGTCTCGGCTTTATCTTGTGATAGCCACGGTATTGAGGAATAAGCATGGTACTTTCCAAAAATAGTGATGAAGTAGCCAAGAAAAAAGCTTAAGAGAAAAACTTTTAGGAGAACTCTGTGCCTAGTAGCAGCGTTATTGGCATTACTCTACGAAGAAAAGATAAATCTCCTGGATTTTTCATTCTAGTAATCTAAGTTAGGTTCTTTGTTTATTACAATTGTCATTTAGATTCTCTATTATAAATAGAAAGTAATCTAAAAAGATTTCCTGAAATCGCGAGCTTAAACGACAGGAGCTTAATTTGATACAAAACAAACACCCTCCACCTGTGATAAAGAGTAAAGAATAGAACATGACTGGAAGAAGACTATCTATTTAAGCGTTTTTAGGGTTCTCTGCTCCACAATGATGAACTACAGAGGTCTGTTACATGGAAATCAGACGAAACTGTATTTTTATATATTGGGAGATGCTCTGTCTCAAGGAGCAAGAAATTTTGTAAGTAAGCGTTGTCCACTCGCTGTTCTTCGATCGTTTCCCTACGACATCTTCCCAAAACACGTTGAAATTTCACAAAACTATGCGTAAGATTTTTAAAAAATTCTGATCTACTTCAAAAAGTTTCTGGTTTTTTTGAAACAGTTTTTCTTTAAACTACAGGAGCTGAAATAATAAAGCGAACTGAGGTTGCTAATCGCAATCAGGATAAACCTTTGAGGCAAGAATACTTTGCAGCTTTAAGTCGCTAGTGATAGCAATGATGCTGAAGGATTTTAAAGCAGTGTACTGGATGGATACTTCTACGTGCTTCTGTAATGAAAATTATGGGCTGACTATGGAGGTGGCTAACTTTTGTAAATGGAACTTAAATTCAGGATTTCAGTGCTCATTTCGTTTGTATAAGAAAAGTTTCTAGAATTACGAATCACTTTGTTATTGAAAAAATCCTACTTCTCGTATTTTTTTTTAATTTATGCCTGAGCATATAGTTCTTAGTTTGCTGACAATTAAGGGGTACCTCAAAGAAATGAAGAAAAAGGGCATGGCGTTTGCTATGTGCAGCGCTGCGGGCCACTCAGTTTATGCCGCAACTGTGCCAAGAATGTATCACTATTTGCCCTACCCGACAGCTTTAGGAGTACAGCATTTTTTATATTTTATTTTGACAGCGTACGATAGAAAAAACGCAATATTTTCTAAAAATCGTTTTTTTTTTAGAGGGTCTAATTTACAGACCCTTTAATGACAAAGATTTCTGCATGAATTGATTCAA